CAGGGTTTGCCTGGGTTTCGAGTGTGATCGGGCATGGCCTTCCGTCACGGCGCCATTACCGCTGCTCTCGAGGCAGTATTTCTTGAAACAGTGCCCGCTTGCGGGACGAAGAGATCCTCGGCTAGGCTTCACGAGGCCCAAACCACAACAGACCGGAAAGTCTCATTTGAAAGTGGAAAGCCTATTGATCTCAAGCACTTTTGACGCTTGCGGAGACGCTGATCTTGACACACCTTGATGCAGCACCTGACGTATATCATGAAATCATCTGAAATCATCTGAGTGCAACTTGTTGGTAATTGTCTGGCTGTTGGTTAAGGTTCTCCTTAGGTTAATTTCACTTTGTTTCGTTTTGGTGGCGGGCCATGGAAATCAATATACAAATCAAGAACGTGCAGAAGCCTGAAGATATTGTCAATGCTTTCGCTGCCCTGGAGCAGAACAGCAGACCTCCACTGCGCAGAGGAAGGAGAGAAGATCGGGCCTCTGCAGCAGCAACCACGGCAGCTACGCGAAGATCGCCAAGTTTGATTCTGACAGCTCAAGAGCTCGAGGCACTGCAGCAATCTCACCCCCAAGGAGCAGAAAACCTCCTCTCCTCCACGGATGCGGATGCCAGCGCCAGTGGCAGTGGAGCCAGAGCAAAGATGAGGGCGCAGCCTTTTTCTGCATTCCAGCGACCTCGGCGACCATAGGAGGGGCGCACCCTATCCCCGGGCCCATATTTTCGTCGAGGTGATCAGCCTGGAGCTGCAGATACAGGCATTATTCCCAAGCCTACAATGACACAGGCCCTCATGGATCAAGCAATGCCACCTCCAGCTCGACCCTTACTAGTTCGAAGACGGAAATCCAGGACCCCCTCGAGGAGATCTTCGTCCAGAACACCACCAACCAGATCACAAGCACCCAGAACACAATCACCCAGAGCACAATCTTCCAGGGCACAATCTTCCAGGGCACAGTCCCCCAGGGCACCCTTGCAGCTCACTCCTGGACCAAGGACTAGCATGCGAGACTCGAGGTCGCCAACCCCCAGACGAATGGACTCGAGATCGCCAGCACGCAGAAGGCAGGATTCCAGGTCACCCAGAGCCCGACAGCGATCTCGTATACCACCGGCAACGGCAGCAAAAGCCAAGTCGAAGCCACCATCCTCGTCGTCTACTACACCACCTCGACCGCCTACAACAGGTAAGGATCTTTATATTACTCCGACATTGCCGTCGGAGATCAGGTTTCCCAAGAACATCTCCAAGTACGCGGTGGACTGGGAGTCCTTCGAGGCCTTCCCGGTGCAAAATGACATGAAGCGGTACGTGGAGACGTTATGTGCCTCCGCCCGATTACGCATCTCAGGAGGCCTTGCTCGAGCACGACCTGACATATGGGACAGAGGCGGGGAAGCTACGCCGGAAACTATGCGCAGGTTTTACTACCTTGCAGCCCAGGACTTGACGTGCAAGGACCCTCCATTGCCCACCAATTAAGACGGAGAGGATTCTATTCTGGTGCCATGATACAGATGTTGGAGCCCTCTGGAATATGCTTCAAAGCAGAGACATGCTCCCCATGAATGCCCACGGCGTCTCCCAGTTCAACTGCAACATCTTCTACGCGCTGGGGCGCGAAATCTGCGGGGGCGAAACTGATGAGTATAATATCGCCTGGGTATTATACAATACCACCCGCAGCGCGAAGAACCTGGCGGGCATCGTCGTGGGAGGCAAAGCATGGGGCAGCCTTCGCAAGCACTACGGTGGCTCGTTCGAGACTGCGCGCGCAGCAACGCAAGAGGACCAGGTCCTGAAGGACAGCAACCCCAAAGCGTTCTGCGTGAGCCGCAACCGCTATACAGCTTCAACTACATCGCGTTCGAGCAACTTGCGCAGCCACCCTCCACTGCCCGGATCCTCATCAACCAGTACCTACGAGCAGCCAACATCCAGCCTCGAGGACGGCAATTTCTGTTCTGAAGTACAGTATTACATATGCGACCTTTTCGTCTGCAGCGGCATCCTTTTCTGCAATAGCCACACCGGCGAGACTCGCAGCGTATGCCCGGGCAGCCCACAAAATGTGTCAAGTTCTGTCGTCGCTTCTGCAAGTGCCGTTGCCAGTGCAGTTGTGCAGTTGTTCGCTTTAAGTTTACCCTTGCTTTCTGGTAGCTTTTGTTGTTAAAGGTTCCGATTACATAAGCTAGCAGCATCCGCGCACCATGGCCTCGCAGTGGGGTGAGACGTGGGCACCGAGCTCCTCGGCGACAAATCCGTGGTGGCAAAGCCCGCAGACTCCACACACGACTTCGGCATGGACTTTGCCACCTCCCCCGCCCACATCGTCAGAGCCATCCCTACGTCTTCCACCAGCCCCCATGGCCGCCACAACGCCACCCTCGCGCAGCAATCCGCCAGATCAACAAGCTGATCCTCGCCCAGCTCGCGTACCCCTTCCCTCATCCTTCAAGGAGGACGACGAGCGCTACGACGCCAACTTGGTCTTCAAGTCCACGCTCAGGAAAACCGTTGAGCCCTCAGCGTGGAGCCGACCAAAGGACTCGCAGGCATGGACATTTGCGATGTCACAGCTGCCCACCTCAGCAGGCGAGGCATGGAGGAGTATGGACTTCGTCCTCTTTCTCATGGGCGATTTACAGGTGTCATCCTCACACGCGATGTCGCCGAGACCGTTCTCCTATCGCAGATACAAAAGACGAAGAGGCTACGCGAAGACAACATCGACGTCGACGCCATCGTCGAGGCCGTCTACAAGTCCAAGAACCTCAAGCCGCCAGACAAAGTCAAAGAAGCCACCAACTTTGTTACACCCTTGGTGGAAGAGATATTTTTGGCCATGAAGCCATGGACGCAATCTACGGCAAGACCTCCGAACAACAGGACAACCACGTCACGCAGCGCATGCAAGAGCTTGAGGAAGAGGCGGCCAAGTACAAACAGCGGCTCAAGTCAGCCGGAGTGGAAGCCACGCCAATGAAGGTGCTGCCTTTGCAGCCCCCGCCTCCGGCGTCGTCAACCCGGAGCGACTCCCAGCCCCTGAGAGCGCTCACGAGGACCCGCCAGCCAAGCGACGCCGTACTCAACGTGGAGATCGCAAGAAGCAGTACGAAAAGTTAATTGAGGAGCCCTTCAATGTCATCAAGCAAACGGGGCAGCCACCCCCAACCAGCATGATGTCGATCAAAACGTGGGTCACCAATCTCAAGAAGACCATGCCCGCCGACAAGCACAAAGAACTGGACCAGCACATCCAGCAAGTCCAAAACCTACTGGGCGAGGGCAAATACACCAAGGTGCAGCTACAAGAGATGGCGACACGGTGGGGATTACCAATTTCATTGATTACAGCAGCGGCGGCATCCCCCAGAACGTTGCAGCAGCTTATTGCGGCAGTTACCTTCCTCGCTGTCTGAAAGACGCAAACCATTTTGCACCAGCGCCTCCCGCACCAGGACGGCACCAAGACCTTCAGACAACTGCAACAGGTGGTGGACTGGGCGCAGTTTTTGCTTTTCTATGTTCCTGCAATAAGTAATAAGGATGTGCTTCTTTGGCTTGTAGGTTTGACTCACTTAGTCTTTCTATTTCACACAGAGCGAGACCAGCCGCTGCAACGAAGCAGCTACAAGACCGACTTCGCGAAAAAGGCGTGGTGCCTGAGCTCTACATGTTCAGCCGATTTGAGCAACCTTGTGCAGTATATGTCAAGCTTAAATTCCCCAAGCTCAACAGTTCCGGATACCCTGAGATTAGCAAAGACACTTCGTTTTGCTACATCGGATCCACCAACCTCACCGTGGCCAAGAGAGAGTACAACAGAGTCGCAAAGTCGAAGCAGCTCCAGCAATTAAAATTGCCCAAAACAGAAATAGCCATCCGATACTGGCACGACAAGCAGAACTACGAGCACTTCAGCACCCTGCTTCTTTCGCAACATCAGGAGTATATTGATGCATGGGCGGAAGAACACTGTCTTAATCAAAGATGGCAGCCCAAGCTAAACTACCCCTTTGTCACGAAAGAGCTCGTCAAGAAGGCCCATGGGTCAGTACCTGCGAGACAGCAACCTCACCTGCAAAAGCCGCCTGACACCTTGGCCAAGCAGCTGTTCAAAAAGATTCGCAGACGACTTCAGCTTCAAGGACAACAGCAGCAACTACTCAACACCCTCCCCAAGCAAGCGCAGTCTACGCCATCTCCAGCGACGCCAAGCAGGAATACGATGCCTCCCGTGAGCTACGCAGCGGCAAGCACGACAACGAGACGGTCACCCTACTCTATCGCCTGGCGAACCACATGGAACAACCTTGGCGGTCTAAGGCCAGAGCCAGACTCAGACGAGTGCTAACATTCCGCAACGCCACTGTGCCCAAGTACAACATGCCTCTCAAGATTCCCTTCCTCGCCCACAACGACTTCAAGCGCAACGTGGAGTTTATCACCAAGCTCATCCGGCAGCATCGGCATGTTCTTACCCCGTATCACCTCCCGACCAAGACCATCCACTGTGGAACCATATGCGCCAGGTCACAACACAAGGACGACACTGGAAGCCAGAGCCATGCAAACGCAAGGAATTCCTGCAGGAGCACCCCAGAGCTGAACATCATGAAGGTCACGTAGCCACAGGCCTAGAAACACTTGAGTTTCGCAAAGGCCAATCCAACCTCGGTGACGTCTTCGCCAACATCGGTGCCTGCAACGCCTTCTTTCCATCTAAACGTCGCCTACACGAGCAAAAGCTCAACCAACTTCGTGGGTGGCTTAGGCATCACTTATTTCCCAACGACGACCGCATCATGGATTCCTTTACGTCCTTTTTCGAAGAGCAGTGGACACGCCAGAAGGAACAACAGCGACAAGAGCCTCGACTCACGCATCGACTTATAAAACACCTTGTTTCTTCATTACCTCGCAATTACATTATTCACAACGAGGACCACGCCAACGCCCACTTGATGATCTATTGCCCCAACGTGTACAATCAGGCTGCGTTCAACACCTGGATGGACAAGAAAACGCTCCTCCTCCTGGACAAAAGCCCCGACAACGTCAAGGCGGACATGGAAAGGCAAACGCCTGCAGCAGGTCGGAAAAACTACAAAAAGCTCCTCGACTACAACAAGCCTATTCCGTATGGATACATCATGATGAAGCGGAAAAAGCAGTGGCATGTGTTGGCCGCCTCCTTCGCGTTGCCGCACTGGCACTTCAACAGATGCTCAAAGCTACATGGCCACACCATTTCGGGAACATCGCAACACCCCAACTATGGCAAGAAGTTCACCAACTGTTTCAGGCCAATGAAGAACAACCTGAACGAGAACTTCTATTCCTCAACCACGACCTTGTTGGCTTTTTCAACAGTATCCCTCAAGCTGACATTATACAGAGCGTCCACTACCTCATCGCAGAGTTCTGCAAAAACAACAACGAGATCCTGCTAATCGACCCCTACAGCAAACTCAACCCTGTTCACTCAGGCAAATCCACCCGCAGCATCAAATCCAACATGACCAAATTCAACGCGCAGCATATCGTCGACATCATACAGTTCAGCTTCGACGCCTGCGCCTTCACAGCCATTGGGGAAGTATTCCNNACCTCCATGGGCAATCAGATCAGCCCCATTCTGTCGACGTGTGCCATCGTCTCGACAGAAATTACATGGCTCCGCCTGTATGGGCAACATGTCGCCAGCGCACACCTGGCAGACCAGCTCTGGATCCGCAGGTACGTCGACAACCGAGCGATCATCGTCGACAAGGAAGCTCTCCACACCAACCCCTACATTTGGCAACTTTCATCACTACAATTCTACAAAAAGCCTGTACAACTTGAGGACGAAAACTGCGACGATTTCCTGGGCTTCAACATCAATGCAACAACAGACAGGTCAGCTACATTCTTCATCCGCAACCGTGGCGATACCGATTACCTCAGTCAGCAGGCTCGCGCAAACTCCGACTCAGCGGATACCATAGCCGGAGACATATGATTGAAGGCACGGTGTTCCCCCAATCCTTGGTCCAGCAGCAGCTTCAAGCGCTAGACGACCTCTACTTCAAGCTTGGATTCCCAGACTTCGCCCAAGGCATAACACAAAATCCAGCGCCATTGGAGCTCGGCCGGGTGTTGGTTAGTTTAGTTCGGGTTGGTTTGTTTTGTTTTGTTTTGACTTCGTGCTTAATCATCATGCACATTTGCTACACCGGCTTTTTTGCGCACCTGTTCCATGAGTTATTACCTCAGCTTTTTGTTCCCAAACCTAAGCTATGCCGTCCAAGCGGCCCAGCACGAAGCCACAAGATGACATCGAGCTGACGGCTGTGGACACAGACTCAGATGCGGATCAAAAGCCAGTTCGACTAATGCATGGGCTACCTCTGGATGATCCGCCGCCGTGCTTACCTCCGAACAGTCATGCAGAAGTTGAGCAAGGTTGCCAACAACACCTCAGCAACGGGTACATCCCTATGTCGGTGTTCCCGTGGTTGGCGCAGAAGTTGCCGTCCGAGCGCCTTCGTGCTTCGGCGCTTACACGCCGCGGCACACAAACTATGGTCTTCTCTTCCGGGGCCTACTACAATGCTGGGTCTGTTGGCATTAGGACCAACACCAGGAAATACCCATGGACTTCTGCCCTTCTTGCGTACATGGTACGAGCATGTACGCATACAAACTTCGCCACCGTCTCGCTACTGTGCAATGTGAACATGGCCACTCACGTTGACAAGTAGAATCAACCAGGCTCCTCCAATGTGCTGGTGCCACTCTCACCCTTTCGTGGAGGAGAGCTATGGCTACTAGAAGAACAAGGACCAGATCTCTCCCCGAAAGGACAACATCGAGGACGCAACCACCCTGTTCGTCTGCCAAGTGTGGAGTTTGACCCCTTCACAAAGCATGCAACGTGTCCGTGGAAAGACGACAGGCTGATCTTATCAGCGTACACACCACTACGAACAAGTCGACTCGAGCTTGCAGACATCGACCATCTTGTGAGCCTTGGGTTTAATTTGTAGTTCTTTTCTTGTAATTTGTAATTCAACTCTTGTGCAGTCTTTAAACACTTGCAGCGAGCCTCAGCCGCGAAAAATGCAAGCAGCAATGAAGCAACGCATCCACAGCCGCACGTACCCTCCATGCTTTTTAGCCTCAAGTTGGTAGCAGTAAGTCGCGACCTTCCTCGACCGTCCTCGATTCCCCGATATGGACCTATACAGATGGATGGAGCAAATTACCTCAGAGCATGCTCCCCGTCGCCGACGCCTCAATCCTCGCGAAGAACTCCCAGAACATCTTCAGATACACCACTTGCCGCTCAAAGACATACTGCAAATGGAGCAACAGATACATGTGTGGACCTGCCGACTTCGACGACAAGACCAATGTCATCGTCTGAACACCTCAAACCACGAATACAACCAGGCCCTCAAAGTCAAGGCGACCCTGCTTGCAGACGCACACGGCCTCGCGTGCGACATGGCCATCCAGAACGACGTGATCAACGCCTATGGCGTCTTGGAAGTCACGCGCGACCTGAGCATGCTCCTGCATCTCGCGCAAGTCAACAAGGCCACATGGATCCACTGCAGTCAACTCCTCAAGTCGACGCATACAGACTCCAAGATTGCAAAGCATTAAATTTCCCTCGTAGCTCTAGTTTTCCTGTTTGTGATTGAAATTTCACTTTCCCGGT